GGATGGGGTAGGGAGGGGGCGTGCCCATGGTTCCCAGGGAAAGGGGAGGACGGGGCACGCAGAGAGTTAGGGCGATTCCCTGCTGCCTCTCACAGGAGCGTCTCTTTCTATTGTATCCCCATCTTAAAGCTTTTCCATGGATTGTGATAGTGATGGGTAGACTGAAAATAACCGAATGCAAATTCTATTCTGCCTCCCTTTCTCTAAGTATCAAACCAGGAGAAAGCCCTTAGAAAGGAGTGCCTCCATTTCAGAACGTGCACCAGCGGTACTGGAGATAGCGGGAGTGTGTGGGGGGAAGAAACACATGGAAAGTCACCCCCATGCTGTACACTGAAACCAATACAGAAGAATATTGAAAGCAAACTGGAATTGAAACAGACAAATTAAAAAAAAGAAATGTTGAGATTTATAGATTTTAAAGCACTAATACTTGTCCATTGGTTCGCATATGCTTAGGCATTGCCTACCAAACCCTTACGGGAACCACCTGTGGGTTCCAGAACACGACTGTGCATTCTCACCTCCTGAAAGGACGCTTCTGTTCCTAAGATTTTATTTTCTGTCAGATTTACAGGCAAAGAGCACAGACTTAATAGGATTTTCTAGAAATTTTTACTTTGCTGGTCAGAAACTCATCTGAAATTCCAAACATAAGGAATGAGTAACTCCAGCCTCTGGCCCATCTCCCTCCCTCTCTTGACCCTCCTCCTAGGCCAGGAGAGGCCCTGGGATCCTGTCTTTCACGTTGCGTGTCTCAGCGCTGCCGCTGATGACAGTCGGGCAGTGACTTGTTTAGCTGCTGCTTCCACGATGTGCTAGTAAAATCCAGTGAGTAACGTAATCACTGGGGAAATAGACAATTAGGGACTCAGTAGCAGCATAAGCTATGAATGTGACCAACAAATGGCACCCTCTGGCCAGCGGGCACGTAGCACCAGCTCCCAGAACAACTTGAGGGAGTTCCCTTCGCTCAGCAGGGTCCGTCTATGCCATGTATTTTCCAACATCCAAGTGTATGATCACAGGGGAGAATGCAGGCAGAGAGGCCAGGACGTTCAAATAATGAGAAGGGGGGAAATGGCCTTGAATTCAAGCTGCATCGGTAGCTTGAATTCATCAGCCAAATTGTTGAACTGCGCCTACTGGCTAAAACTTTGGGGATTGTTACTTTTGAAAATGAAAACAGACACACAAAGTGAGATAAGAAGATAGTAAATATTTTTGTACCAGAATTCTTTCAGCACCGTAATTTTTATATTACTACCGTATTTTCCGGCGTATAAGATGACTTTTGAACCGAAAAGAAGCCTGCTCAGCTTGGCTAGAGTCAGAGAGGCGGGCTATTAAAAAAAAGAACTGGTGTTGCCTCGGTAGTGGGGGGTAGTCTTATACAGCGAATACGGACCTAAACCTATGTTTTAACTGTAAAATTAGGGGGTCGTCTTTTACACCCGGTTGTCTTATACACCAGAAAATACGGTACCCTGTTTTCCCGAAAATAAGACAGTGTCTTATATTAATTTTTGCTCCCAAAGATGCGCTAGGTCTTATTTTCAAAGATGTCTTATTTTCCATGAAAAAGAATACGGTACACATTTATTGTTAAATGAAAATAAAGGAAATTTATTACCTGTATACGGTACGGTAGTATGGTAGTTGTCAACACAAACCAGACAAACTGTGTATCTACAAACTACAGTATCAAGAATTTACTCATTTATTCAATGACAATTATGTCATCTTCTGGAACATCATACCAATCCAATTCCTGTATTTCCTGGTGAATTTCTTGTGACTCCATTTCTTTCAGAATCAGTAGACCAAATCTCTCATTTTAGCCTAGGGGGGTCCTTATTTTCGGGGGGATGCCTTATATTTCACTCAGAAGGAAACCTATAAGTAGGTCTTATTTTTGGAGGATATTTTATTTTCGGGGAAACACGGTAGTGTTTTGTGTACTATATTATTTTAAGATTGTATATACTTAAGTTATAAATCCTCCTTTACAATGTTTATTTAAATTCTTATCTTTTTTTTTCTTTCTGGAGAGAAAGTCTATATTTTGTGTTTTTAAAATAAAAACTACTATAAAATAATCAAATTCTTAAAGAGTAATTTGGAGAAATTCTTACGAGTAATTTGGAGAAAGAAATCTGCCTTTAGGAAGGATATTTGTATTATCACTGAGATCTCTAACTCTTCAGCTACTTGCTTTAGTTTATCTTCCTCTCCCCTGAAAACCTTACAAACTGAAATGCATGTCTCCATAGCTGTTTTCTATGAGAGAGAGATCTGTGTTTGGAAAGAACTTTGTTTCGGGGTGAGGGGAGAAATGACTGACTGTGAAACTCCTCAGCTGACTTGAAACGGGATGACGATAAGCCAGACAGAGGCCAAATGGCCCAGGACAAATGGGGCTGGCCGGCTGGGGCAGGTAGGCCGGGCCACCTGCCACCACTAACAGGCTCTGTCCCAAAGCAACAGTATTTTTTTCCTCTGCGTGTCCCCTTCCCTCATCTGTTTATTTGCAAGAACCGTTCAGAGCCAGGAAAAGGGGATGAAATGTACTCAGAAGCCAAGGTTGGAGGAGGTGGAGGTGTCCTTCAGTATTGATGGCCTAGATGCAGACAGATCAAAAGTCAAATCCAATTTAGCCCGCCCTGAGCAGGAACAGTAATTGAATTAAACCTCCTCTAAATATGATAAGTTTGGGGGCTTTAAAGCCAGGCACAAAGAGCCAGGTTGGAGTAAATGGACGCAGGGAGCTTGAGCCGCCCCGCCCGCGGGGAGCTGGATGAGCTGCTGCTTTGCCGCTATCATTTAATACTGAGGCTGAAAACTGATTAAGCTGCTTATGGGGCTCCGGGGGCTAACGGTCTGGCCCACCACGATTTATGTAAGCGGCTTGGCATGTATGGTTTGATTATTAGGAAAAGAAAAGGAGATGGGGGAAGATAGCAGGGTACAGGAAAGCTTTAAAAAGCAGGTTTTATTATGTCAAGTAGATGTACTACGTTGGCGCTGTAAAATGAACCTGGAGTTACTCTGATTCTTTCTCTTCATCTGGTGTCAAAACTCATGTCAGAAAGGCTTCCTCAAAGAGGACTCGGTGTGGAGCCCACCTGTTTTATTGTCAGCCACCTCTACAAGAATACACTTCTCAAGAGATAGTCTGATCCTCAGATACTACGATCAGGAAAAGGCCTAGAAAACAGATAAGTGCATCATGGGTATTTTCATGATTCCCCTTGAACACCACTGGGAAATCACAACTAAAAATACAGGTGGCTGGAGCATCATCCCGTTCAGGGTCGATCCCCAGTGGGGATGTGTTCAGGAGGCAACAGATCGATGCTTCTCACATCAGTCTTTTTCTCTCTCCATCTCTCTCCCATCTTCTCCCTCTAAAATCAATAAAAACAAATTCTCCGGTGAGAATTAATAATAAATAAAAATCTATCCCTTTCCACCCCAGCCAGCAGGCTGCTTGATCATGCAGCGATGGGCAGGCAGACCTGGAGGAGTGCAGGGAGCTGATAGGTGCAAATAGGCTTAAACTCAATACCCAAGTGAAATCAAAACTCTAGTGTTCTCTCAGACCTCTCCTACTAAATGCTCTAAAAGTGTTCCTTTCATTTAAAACAAATTTCCTACATTTGTTTTATGTAGGGACAAAGAGAACACAAAAAGTATTAAGTTTAAACTACAATTAAGAATTTTTTTTTTTTGTCTTGAAAAACGACTTAAGGATCTGTAGTTTTCCAGTTGACCTCATTTCTTCTGGACTAAACAACCAGAGAGGAAAACAACAAAAGAGCAAAATCACAGCAGTTGGAGATGTTCTGGAAGTTGTCATAATTACTTTTTAAAATTAACTCTTGAGAGAATTAGTAGATAATGCCTTCATATAGTGTCTTCTTAGGGAGGGAGTTACTGATTGAAAGGATTAAAACAAAGCTTAACATATTCAGAACTTTGGGTTGAACAGACAAATGTCAGTTTTCTTCCTGGCTGCTAACCTGTCAATCATTAAAAGAACATACACTAACAGAAGTATAAAAATGTTATTTTTATTCTTACATACTTTATGTTTTATTAAAATTTACAGTCACCCAACTGTGTGGCTTGAGCACAAAGAGCTTAATAGTCACTGCTTTTATATCTTTTCTCCATTTTTTACTGAGATATAATTCACATACCATAAGACTTACTCTTCTAAAGCATTCAATTCACTGGTCTCTAGCATGTTCACAGGTTGTGCCACCACCACCACCATGTAATTCCAGAACATTTTCAACATTCCCAAAGGAAATCCCGGCTCCGCGCAGCCCCCCTCATTCCCCTATTCTCCCAGGCCCTGGTAACCGCTTGCCAATTCCAGGGATTTGCCTGTTTTGGACATTTCATTTAAATAGATAATAAAAATACGTGTTCTCTTCTGTCTGGCTTCTTTCAGCATGATGTTTTCTAGGTGCACTCATATTGTAGCATGCATCAGTACTGTACTCTTTACGGCCAAATAATATTCCATTGTATGGATATAAAAACTGTGTTTATTCATCAGTTGACGAATATTTGGGTTGTCCCCATTCTCTGGTTATTATGAATATGCATGTACAAGTAAGTGTTAAAGTGAACATGTGTTTTCAATTCTGTGGGTGCATATCTAGGAATGAAATTGCTGGGTCATATGGTAGCTGTTTAATGCTTTGACGGGCTGCCAGGCTGTTTTCCACAGTGGCTGCACCACTTTGCATTCCCACCAGCAGTGTATGAGAGCTCCAATTTCTCTGTGCCCTTGCCAACATTTGTTACTGTCCTGGAATATCTTTTTATACTAAGTTTATTTTTTCCATTACGAGTAGAAATCAATCGATTATCAGGGCTTACAAAGAGAACTACCCCAAAGATGGCAGAATTCAGTGCCAAGACCACAATACACAGAGGCACTCCCCCAGGGAGAAAAGAGAAAAGAAATGGCCTCGCTGAGTACCTACCTGCTGCAGATCGGCGAGGGAATACAGGTGGATCTGTTGAAGGAGGTATTCTCTGGGGAAAATTCTGAAAACAAGGACAGAAACACATATGACCTGTGGTGCTGCCACAAAACACCCTTGTTCTGATAAGTTTCAAAGTCTCATTCCAAGATCCCTCTCGTCTGCCTGCTCCCCTGTCCCCTGTGCTCCTCCTGACACACTCTGAGAAGTCGGTAATCATCCCTTTGTTCAGATCTTTGTCTTCCTCACACGGAGGTAAACGTTTGATCTTGGATTTCTTCTGTAGCCCGAGGTGCTGGCAGCACCGTGTAGTGGTCCAGGCCCCAGGGCTGCAGCACCAGGCTCTTCTGCCAGCCAGGTCCCTGACAAATGTGTCATCCCAGTAGACTGAACTCCATCTTCTAAGTATCCTTCCAGCCCCATTATTTTGTGAGTTGAGGAAATCAGTGGAGTGGCCACTTGTGTGTCTTTCGTCTGCAGCCGCCTATGTGTTTCATTGGTAGGGACAGTAGTGCTCAATATCACACCAATGAACTACCCTCTGACATGTATAGTAAGTGTGAAAACCTAGGCACAAATGGGAATAATAGCACAACACAATTCAAACTGGGACTCGCTGACAAGGTCCAATGTCTTTGGCTGCTCTCAGTTCATGGCATCTGGATAAATGACCGTGAGTGAACTTAAAAAAACACAAACACACCCAGTAGAGTATGGATAAGGATATAGGTACCAAGGTATAGGTGCTTAGAAAGTACACCCCTCTCCCCCTACATACACACACAAATAAAACAAAACTCATGGTTCTCACATTTTCTGTCTTTTAATGGTACTATGCATTTTTTTGTGTGTCCTCAATGAAAGAAACCACCAATTTATTTAACATTTATAACTGTCCACTATGTGCCAAGCATTGTGCCAGGCACTAGGAAGATAATTATGAATAAGACAGTCATAGTATTTGAGTTCAAGAAGCAGAAAGTCAAGTTAGGGAGAGGTACATACACTGGTAATTGCAATATGTGTGGTTATTGAAAAGAGAGTTATGCGTTTGGTATTTATTTATGGAATGGTCTAACATGGTGCGTCCCAAATCTGGCCATCTATTAGAGTCACTTGGGGAGCCTTTAGAAAATCATAGGGCATAAGCCTGGGTAGATCCCAGAAATCAGAGTTAAAACAAAATATCTCCTGGTAACTAAGGCAGCCAAAGTTTATAACCACTGCCCTATTCTTCATCCAGCTCACTGGAAAACTCATTATTCAGTCTTTCTATTAAGTATGTATTACTTGACAAATCCTAGAGATTAAATCATTTATCCCTTTACCTGGCTTTCCCTAATATTAACATTTTACTCAACCAAGTGCATTGATCAAAACTAAAAAATAAACTATTATGTAAATTATACTTTATTCAGATTTCACCAATGTCCTTTTTCTGTTCAAAGATACAATCCAGAATATAGCATTGCACTTATAGATTAAAAAAACACACACACAGTAGTCTCTCCCACCCCCATCCGTGGTTTCACTTCCAATGGTTTCAGTTACCCCAGGTTCCAAAATATTAAATGGAACATTCCAGAAATAATTCATAAGTTTTAAATTGGGCACCGTTCTAAGTAGTGTGGTGAAATCTCACACTGCCTTGCTCTGTCCCACCTGGGATGTGAATCATCCCTCTGTCCAATGTGTCCATGCTATGTGCTGACCATCCTTTCGTCATTTAGTAGCTGTCTCAGTTGTCAGACTGACTGTGGCAGTGTCGCTGTGCTTGTGTTCAAGTCACTTTATTATAATTGTCCAATTTTATTATTGTTGATCTCTTACTATGCCTAATTTGTAAATTAAATGATCGTAGGTATGTATGTATAGGAAAAACATTGTGTGTGCGCACACGTGCGTGCGTGAGTGCGTGAGTGCGTGTGTGCGTGTGTGTGTGTTTATGCATTTTCAGTAAGACTGGAAACCCAAACATATGTGCAAAAAAGGAAATGCAGGACACAGTCTCTCCGTGGGACTACGAGGACAGCAATGTGCCAAAATCTAATAAGGGATGGAGGGTATTTGAGCACAGTTGAATGGAAGGCATAATCTTTGTCAAAGGAGACTGCTTATTAACAAAATCCCTTAAACAAGGTAAAGTGAAAACAATGTGGCAGCAGGGCTGGCAAATGGAGACAGAGTGAGCCAAGTGAGTAGGCTGGAAAATCGTTTCAAAATTCGCTTCCGCTGCTTCCACTGGTTTGTATTATAGAAACCTGGGCCAGCTACAGGAAGAGTCAGACGAAGAAAGGCAACTGAAACGAACATCAGCAGGGACAAGTGCAGGGTAGCATTTCTATAATGTTTTGCTACTTAAAGTTTCTTCTGCTCCAAACCCGAACATTCTATAACTGAGAGCACACAGGATATAAGAATTATTTATACATTTACAAACCAAGTCATATTTTCTCCCTTACTAAGGTCCTATAGCCAGTCAAGTATTTAGTCAACAATCACTTAGCGAGGGCCAAAAATAAGCCGTGTGCGTGCTAACTGCTGATATGTCAGTGTCCACAGTTGATGAGCAATAAAGACAATGTCCAGCTTTTAAAAAACTTTTTATTAAGGTACCAGAGGCCCGATGCACAAAATTCGTCCAAGGGGCTCAGGCCTTGCAGCCCTGACTTCATCCAGGTCCTCCGGAAGGACGTCCAGAAGGTCGTTCAGCTGTCAGTCTAATTAGCATCTTATGCTTTTATTATTATAGATTATTATAGAAGATAATTGACATATACCATCACATTATACAGGGTGGGGCAAAAGTATGTTTATAGTTATTCACAAGGAAAATAATATAATAGTTAATGAATAGTACAAGAATGAACTGTTTCACATATTACCTTGGCCCCGCCCTGTATTAGTTTTAGGTGTATAATAATGATTTGATTTGTACACACTGTGAAATAATCACCATCAGAAGTCTTATTTAACATCCGTCACATAGGCAACACAGCGCTATTAACAATAATCTCATGCTGTACATTATATCCCTATGACTTACCAATTTTATAACTGGAAGTTCATACCCTTTGACCCCTTCACCTATCCCTACACACACACACACACACACACACACACACACACACACACACACACATTTGGCAACCACCAATCTGTTCTCTGTATGTATGCATTTGGTTTCTTTGGTTTTTGTTTTTCGTTTTGCTTTTAGATTTTTCATATAAATGAGATCATATGGTATCTGTCTTTCTCAGCCTGACTTATTTCACTTAGCATAAACCCCTCAAAGTCCATCTATATTGTTGCAAATGGCAAGTTTTCATTCTTTTTTATGGCTGAATTACAGGTCCGGTGCACAAGTTCATGCACCAGTGGGGTCCCTCAGCCTGGTCTGTGAGATCAGGCCAAAGTCTACTCTCCTACATCCCCCTAGGGATCCCGGGTTGCAAGAAGGTGTAGACCAGACTGAAGGACCCTACTGGTGCGTGAATGGAGAGACACAGGAGGTTGGCCAGCCGAGGAGGGACTGTGCGAAGGCTTCAGGGTGTGTCTGGCCCCGTCTTGCTCAGTCCTGATCAGCTGAACCTCAGCAGCAAGCTAACCTACCAGTTGGAGTGTCTGCCTCCTGTTGGTCAGTGCATGTCATAGCGACTGGTCGACTATTCGACTGCCACCTGGTGGTCAGTACGCATCATAGTAAGCAGTTGAGTGGCCTTAGCATATCATTAGCTTATTACGCTTTGATTGGTTGGTCGACTGGACACTTAGCATATTAGGCTTTTATTATATAGAATAGGATAATATTCCATGTATATATACACCACATTTTGTAGTTGTTTCCATAACTGGCTATTGTAAAAAATGCTTCAGTTAACTTATATGGGGTGCATATATCTTTTTGTTTTCTTCATATAAATATCCAGAAGTGAAATTATTGGATTATATGGTAGTTTTATTTTTAGTTTTGAAGGAACCTCAAAACTGTTTTCCCTAGTGGCTACACCAATTTACATTCCCACCAACAGTACACAAGGGTTCCCCTTTTTCCACATCTTCACCAATACTTTTTTTTCCCTTTTTTCTTCTTTTTATTGTATTTATATGGTAAGATGTATGTTAGCTGAACCTACTGTGGTAATCACAATACATGTAAACCAAATCATCAAGCTGTATACCTTAAACTTACAGTGATGTATGTCAATTACTTTTCTCTTTTTAGAATTGTTGACAGTATTACAGATGTCTCCCGTTCCCCCCACCCCTTTATCCACCTCTGCCCAGCCCCTAACCTCCCCCCACCCCAGGTATTTTTAACAAAGGCCGCTCTGACAGGTGTGAGGCAATATCTTATTGTGGTTTTGACTGAATTTCCCTGGTGATTAGTGATCTGGAGCATCTTTTCATGTAACTGTTGGCTACTTGGATGCCTTCTTTGGAAAATGTCTATTTAGATCTTCTGCCCATTTTTAAATAAGATTGTTTGTTGTTGTTTGCTGTTGGGTTGTATGAGTTCTTTATGTACTCTGGATATTAACCCTTTACCAACTATATGATTTGCAGTCATTTTCTCCTATTCAGTTGGCTGCCTTTCATTTTGTTAAAGGTTTGCTGTACAGAAGCTTTTTAGTTTGATGTAGTGCCACTTATTTATTTTGGCTTTTGGTGTCAGATTGAAAAAAAAACAACACACAAAACATTGCCAAGACCTCTGTCAAGAAGCTTATCACCTAGGTTATCTTCTAGGCGTTTTGTGGTTTCACATCTTATGTCCAAGTGTTTAGTCCCTTTTGAGCTAACTTTGGGTATGGTGTTAGAGATTGCACCCGTTGCAACTTTTGCACGTGGCTGTCCAGTTTTCCTGACGCCGTTATTCCAGAGGCTATCCTTTCTCTGTTGTATTTCCCTGGTCCTATGGTCATAATTGACCATATGGGCAGGGGTTTCTTTCTGAGCTTTTCCTGACTAGCCTCGGTCCTTCTTGCTTCCAAACAGTTCATGCTTTTTCTCACAATAATGAACCAACTTTGGGCACAGTCATCCCTAGTATTCCTCCTAACT